AGACAGGAAAGTGTGAGCATGTGCTGAAGGGCCATAGCCGCCCGGCCAACTTGGTGGTGTTCTCACACGACTCGTCGATGGTGGCATCGGCGTCTTGGGATAGGACGGTACGGATCTGGAATACGTCAATGGGGGAGTGTAATGACGTCCTTCCGTCAGATTCTGGCACGGACGTGCTTTCCTTTACGCCCGATGACGGGGGTATTATCACTAGCAATGGTGTATCTAGTTTTACTGACAATTGCATGTCTCCCGAGAACCCTCCCATGCCACCACCACCTTCGGTGGTCCCGGCGCTTGGCTTGCGGGACAAGATCTGGGTGACGTCGACAGGACAAGATTTACTTTGGCTACCTGCCGAATGTCGTGGTGGAACAGCAGCGGTTTCAGCAGGTACATTTGCGATAGGTTGCCGATCCGGAAGGGTTGTAGTATTGGGTTTCTCTGCCGCTGAAATAGCAAAATTGTAATGTAGTAATGAATCTAGTAACTCATGCCTACAGCAGACACTTGTATATTTACATCGAAACGACGCTTATGCGTAAAGCTAAGTCGTTATTTTGCATGGAGTCTCGGACTTGATAAGAGCCATGATTTCAATTGCATCTTCGAGACCACCCACGTAGGCAATCAGTTCAGTGTTTATGGATATCCGTGGCACGATATTCCTTGGGACTTTCCGGCAATTGGGTCGAAATGACCACTAAGCATGGCGGCCACTATTGGGCCTATATAATGTAATCAATGACCCTAACCGCACCGGGGGCAGTATAGGTATGCTCTGCCCTCTGCTGTGGCGCCGTCTATGGAATGAATTTATTACGTCCGGGAGAACGAATCTCATAGGACCAGTGGCTACGCTAAACTGTTTACACTCCCCCGGTGCCATCCAGACCACCTAAAAAGCCCCACTCCTTTTCCTCACATCGTTTCCGTTCTAGCCTCATTTGGCTCTATTTGACAGGCCCGCTTGAAGGCCAACTTATTCTCCAAGTGTTCAGCATCCTATCTTCAGCAGCTGAAGCATGGTCTGTCAACTCGAGGCTGTTTGTTGTTAGTAGTTAGCTGTTGTATCAATGATTAGTTCTGTCTCCTTTTCCCTTCCCAGTTTGTTTCTCAGTTCAGTCTTCCCGTCGCCATTGCAAATCTAACTGCCGCTCGTACCGCCTCTAGGTTGGGTGCCCATTTTGGTCCATCCGACGCTGCCTTTCCTCCTAGAAAGAAGGAAAGGCGTCCCATCATGCTTTGCCCAATCTGTCGCATCATTTGACGCTCCGTCTCCCATCTCGCACACCAGAAGAGGAAATGCTCCATCGTCTCTGGCGCACGTCCACATTCACACATGTCCGACTCTGCGGCCCTTATCTTGCTGAGATAACTGTTGATCCTCGCCATGCTTGTGCGGAGCTGCGACAGCAGAGAACAAAAGCGCAGTAACATATCGGTCGCAAGGTCTTGGGAGTGGTCTTCTTTACTGTCCAAAGACCAAGCGAAAGTTGACTCGGCATCAAATAGGTCACCTGTATCCGCAATTACCCTGTTCTGACTTTGATCTTCTATCTCGTCGTATCTTTCATCATCTCCACATTCCTTTTCATCGCTATCATCGTCATCATCTTGGATCTCGTCCTCACCCTCATCCTCGTACTCCCCTTCATCCTCATCGTGCCCTTCACCCTTATCAACAGCAGTGTCTGAGTCAATATGTTCCGCAGACTACCATATGTCATTCACTCAGAGCTCCCGTAAGACTCTAAACTGATGTTTTTTCAACCCATGTCCTGTAATCTTCCGTATAGTCGTCGGCAATAACCGGAATAGTCGAAGCCAGAAGCAGACGAAGCGCTTCAGTTCTTTCCGGTAGATTTTCTCGGAAGATGACTTTGCAACCAATTCGAGGGCATCTTGTAAGGGCGGTCTGGGAATCTGCCGCGCAGCCACCTTCTCAAGCAGACATCCGTCTTCCGGACTGTCTCACCGCATTGATCCAGGAGACGATCAAGTTCGGCCATTATTGATACCAGCTTACGCTCGTCACGAGCCAAACTGACGATGGCTTCTCTTTCAACAACACCGAGAGGTAAGGCCTGGTTAGCCGCGCTGTAAGGTAGCTCCGTAAGGTGAACTAGAATATCACGATGCGCGTCTCTGAATGTTGTTTCCCAGCCTGTGCGCCGCAACCAGTTGGTCTATAAGGCAGAAGAAGCTGGTGTCTCTTTACCACTGCACCTTTGACCACCACTTTGCTAATTGCCCAAACGGGCATGCTCCTCAGTAAATGACTTCTGAGAAAAGAACTTAATGGGATCAGGACTGGCCTGCAGAAGAATGCTGTTGGGTACAGACCCGCTGTTGAAGTCGTTGTCAGTGCTGACGAGCCATGACCTTCGAGCGCTATTCGCTGTCTAGCTCTGGAAGAGAACTCCTTGCTGGGTATGGTCTCGCAGCCAGTGCTGTCGGCTGTTTTTTCTGGCTGTTCGCTTCAACTTGTCGCGATGTTCGGCCCTCAGGTGATCCGCCAGAACATTCCAGCTAGCACAATGGAGACCACAGCGTTTACATGAAGAGCCTTCTTGTACTGGAAGGTACGGATGGCGTCGTGATCCATTTGGCCTGGGGACCAAGGTGTCTGGATCTGGGAGGTTTAATGAGGATAGGAGGGGCTTGAGGCTATGCCGAGCAGATCTGGCAATGCCGTGCTTTTTGCCCGGATGCTCCGATGTTCGTTTAGGACTCAAAGCAAAACCGCATTTAGTACATATAATAGCGGCTTCCGGCAAATTGTAATAAAGGCTAAGCCTTTCGAGCTTCTGCAGCTTTGCTGGAGGTAAAGTGGGGCGACTTTGTTGCCTATGAATAGAAGACCTGGCCATTATGACTAAGCATATATAAATATAAAACTTATGAATTAATGTAGAGTCAGCCTTCGGCTGAATTAGACAGGATGGAATGGCGGAGATACATTAGATACGATAAAGCATGTGAGATTCAGTAGAAGATGGTAATGAATGTTGTTTTTTTAGGTCCGAAGTAGTCAAGTTGAACACGACAAGGGGCAGCCGACGGAAACGCGACGCGTTTCGTGTTTTAGGTTTTCTAATTTCACGAGTGCGGTACAAGAAACGCAGTGCGTTTCTATCGGGGAAATATGGGGCGAAAACGCTAGACGATGATTGGTCAAAAACAGGAAACGCGATGCGTTTCGGTTGATAATTCTTGAGTAGGATGCTGTTACAGAGCTAAACAAAATGCCTTATTCTTATTATTCTCTTATCCATAAGTTAGGCCTAAATAAATATCTCATCAACACTACCTACGCCATCTCGGAAGACGGCGGGCTCCTTATTTGTAGTATCTGTTCTCCTCTCTACATTGGATAGTAATCCTGGATAGGCGTCAATCCGACCTTGTCACCGTCCCGGAGTGCGTAAAATGCCCTAAGACTTTCCACATCACTCTGCTGAACTTCTGGCGGCTCACTCCTATACGTCATGACTGACTTGTCATTCCGATCCCCCAGTTGTACTGCCTCAAACCCCTCCCTAGCCTTGCCCGTCTCGGGATCAATATCCAGCGCGAACTCATGCCTCAGCCCTAGCACATGACCTAACTCGTGCATAAATACCTTCCACATATTCTCCTTCCACTTAGGCATAGCAAATGCTAAGTTATACACCAGCAAATTGCTCAAGTCGTTAGGGTTAGGAAAGAATGCTGACGCCAACGCACCGCCCTGGCTCCCGCCATGCCATAGTGCAAATGTTGCATCCGCCAGGTTAGTAACCCATTCAAAGGTCACTCCTATAGAGAGCTCATTCCACTTTTGGCAGGCCATGTTAAGTTGCTGCGCGGCGTATTCGGCATCAGCAGAGGTTTTGAAGCCTTCCTTCATGGCGACCCATTTGATGACGGAGCCGGGCGCCCAGCGAGGACATGCGTGCTTGAGGCCGAGCATGATGCTAGCGACATTTTTATCATTGGTGTTGCGCAAGGCTTTAGGGATGGGGCTTTCAGTAGTGCAGCAGGGGATGAAGTCATCATCACCGGGGGTGGAAGGGGCAACGGGGATAGTGGGTTGGATGTCAGGAGTGGGAGAAACCGTGTCGAGGGTGTGCTCGCCAACGACAGAGACGATTTGATCGATGACGGTTTCTTTGGTGGAGGGCTCAGAGGCAGAATTGGTGGTGATGTCTGCCATGTTGGGCGGTGTCGAGATGCAATGATGGTCAAGGAGGCGAAGAAGATGAACAAGATCGAAGAGATGGTGTCTAGAGGAGTATTTGGAGTAGGTTTGATGAAGGAAACTTGTGGGTTTTATGTTACGGAAATGCACTTGTACGAGTCACTGGCCTGTATCCAGCGATTCTTGACAAAGCTTAGGTTGAGCTAGTGTTGGTACACAAACGGAATTTTGTAGCTGCATCTTCAGCTAGCCACCGGTATAGTCAGTGTGGGATATATTGTTCCCACTAAAACAATATAATCACATATAGTGTAGCGAGTCTCCACTTACTCACCAACTACGGAGCTCCTCACCCAGCAAATTATGTTACTGAGCGATGTGCATTGCGGGGTTGCAAGACATATCAGACCAAAAACAGGGAACATGCTCAATGCCAAGTAATGGACGGAGGTCTAGGTCCCAGCCCGCACCAGCCTAGAGCGAGGAAGTCCTTAAGGAGCACCGTCTGCATGAAACCATCTCTACGAGGCTGAAGATCCTTGCACCAACTCTTGAGCTCCGCCAATTGTGATCGTGATTTCAGATTCGGCTTAAACAGGGGATCTGAAAGTTGTGCTGTATCTGTTCGCCAAGGCGACTGTGGCTAGCTGGAAGTAGGGTTTCACAGTTAGATTAGTTCTCATGATCAATATTATCACATACGTCGACCGGTGGCCCTACTTTCGATTTAACTCAAGTGATGCGGGCGTCAGAATTGGTATGAATGCCAAACGCATTCTTCGAAAAACCTCTCAATCACTATGTACACAGACAGTATAGATGTCATGAAATTAGCAGAGTATCCACTACGGCATTCAAGTAGAATGTACATGTTAAAGTCTTGAAATGAGACAACCCCACACAGCCTACAAGAGATGCCTATCTTTGATTGAAGCTGCAGATATGAGTGGGAAGCTGGGTGATGAGACGCCGACTAACTTATTCACAGTCAAGATGAATCGGCCTCCTACCGACACTTTTCAGAGATGGTCAGCAGTTCCGCTCTTTCAAATCGACCGACTTGGACGGCATCTAGAATCTTGACTTTTTAGCGGCATGATGCATCACGGCGAATTGGAGGCCGATAGGTGATTCAGGTTCAGCGCACAACCCGCTGCTCTTGGCTTCATTCCTCACCGGTTGAAGAGAAGCTGTTGTCTCCAACTGAATGGAAAAAGAAAAGAGACAAGTCATATTGTGTTAAAGTTGGGTTAGGTGCTGTACTTCGGCCAGCTGAGCTGAAACATTCTGGCTTATTGGACTACAATCTATTAAAGAGCTTTAGCGCTGAATGTGATAATAATAATAACCTGCAAATAGTGGTCTCACAATATACAGTTCCTTGCAGGGAATCTGGATTTAGTAGCTTATATCTCTACTATTAGATAGTTATAGATAGATCTATACTTGGTGTCAATATCTATTTAGAACTTATTCTTTAAACATTTATTAGCAGTATAATAGGTAAATCTCAGAAGTACCTAAAGATATTTGGTTATCAGTCACTTAGAAACTAAAAAGAGGCAGGCTGATCAGGTTTGTGTGAGCTGATAAAACGCACAGGAATGTGACAAATTATGCATGATGGCTAGTGAAAGAATTGGACAGGCCTCTAGTTAACGCAAGGAGCTAATGAAAACTCTATTCACAACAATGTAACGAACTATACATTTCGCGTCAGCTCACTCGAGGATCAGTCCATTTGAACATTTATGGGATGCATTGCATAGCTAAATGATAAACCAGAAACATTCGCGGTGTGATGCAACGCTAATAACATCACTGTCACACAGCCATGGCACCAGGTCTCACCCCGCACTGCTGCAGAGGCTGTAGGCGGCAAAGAAACGAACGAATCGGATCGAAGCGGCTGAGGTAAAAGCGTGGGAAATGCGATGCGCTGATCTCCGCTGGCCATACCACCACAGCCAGCCACTATCAAGACCGTGCTCAGTTGGGAAATACCCAATGCGGGTTCCAGGGGCTCCTGTCTTGGGGCCCTCGTGCCTCTTCAGCCAGCCATCTAGTCAGCCACATGGTGTGATTTTTGATAGGGAACCAAGTCGGTAGCGACCTCTCAGCCTCCATCACAATCTGGACCAATCCAAGTAGAGGATGAAAGCAGACAGGTCCATCATGGGGGTGTCAATCACCAATGTCCTGTTATCTTTGTTACACAGCAACACCCTGACAAGAAATCACCGGGGAATATCGAGGCTGGCTGATGTATTGGGAACACATATCCCAAAGTTTAGCCAGGTTGATTTCTTCTTGGTAATGCAAAAAAAGATAAATAGACAACCATCATCGCCCCAGAGCTGCCATTAGAAAAGCCTTCCAAACCACTTCTGCATCGTATCGCCAAACTCCTCAATAACTTGAACACTGCAACCATGTCCGCACCTCAGGAACTGTAGGTTTTTAGTCCACGACACCATCCGTTGTATTGACAGCCGAACAGCCATGAGCCTACGGGACATGAATATGACCATGTCAACGACCCCAATGCGCCTATCAACCTTCAGGCGGCACTAGAGGAGCTTGAGCCACCTCATGGCCATAGTGACTTCTCGCAACTGGTTGCAATTCCGATTTCGGGGGATGAGGTTGAAGCAGCTTCCAAGCCCGACTATGTCTTATGGAAACTGGAGAAGGCCAAGAAGCCTCGCAGCGGTAAGTGTCTAAGCTACCCAACGAAACCCTTCTAATGAGGATGCAGGCTTGGGTTTCGAGTTTGCTGAGCATAGCTATCTCGGGGACTCGCTCACGCTGGCCTGGGACGACGGCCAGTCGTATGTTGCCAAGAACAAGCCTTTCAAGCTACCCAACGGTCTCGAGGTGACGTACGGCCAGATAAATGGCCTGGCTGGCGATTTTTACGGCACTGTCGACCCCATCAGCGACGGTCGTGACTTGGAAGATCAGCGTAAGCGCTTTGAGAGAGCGTGGTACTGGCTTGCCAAGGACGATACGCGCAACCCACGGGAGGCGCAAGATATCTTAAAAGTGCTCTCGGTCGAGGTCAAGAGGGTGCAGGACGCCATCGACAAGGGCGAAGACCCGTCCAAGGTCTATCCTGACATTCCCGGCGTGAACTTGGAGTTGCAGCGGCTCACCATTGACCGCCCTCCGGAATGCCCCAGCTACATAGTGCTAGCCAAGATCAACTGGGACCATTTTGGCCAGGATGCGCGTACAGCGTATAACGCTTGCCACTCGGCCGCTCTCAAGGTAGCAGTGCAGGGAGATTTGCAGCTTGCCTACGCCATGAATGCCTTCGGCGATCACTTTCTGCAAGATTCGTTTGCGGCTGGGCATATGCGTACCCCGCGACGCAAGCTGCACGACAAGACTGGAGCTGCCGATCTCTGCGCCAAGGTACTTCTTTCAGCCCCTGTATCAAATGCCCTTACTAACCTCTTCCAGTACATGCATGACGAGGACAACGCAATTGGTCTGTCTGTTCGTAGCCCGGTCGGTCTTGAGTGGCATTCACTCGGAGACAAGCGCCTTCTGGATAGAGATGGTATCAGGAATAAGAACGAAGCATGGAACGCAGTGCGTGCCTCTGCTGACGAAGTCTATAACGCTTGGAAGACAAAGACAGAGCCTCCCCCGCAAGAGTACGCGGCTTGGAAATATGCACCCATCCTCAGTGAGGTCAAGAGTATTGTGGCGCCGCTATTCAGGGAGGATGGCCAGCGGAGAGCGGACATCAGAAAGAGATGCCAGGCAAAGTACACCAACAATTATTGGTATTGGTCGACGGCAGCCGACTGTAAGGCAAGCGGGCTGTGGGAGTACCCTATTCTGCCGACGCCAGACTGCCATAAATAAGGTCTGGTACCTATTCTTAGGGGACAACATATCAGCACTTAGTTTGAACCCAAATACACACCAGTTGTCAGAAATCTATATTTCTTGCAGGATAGAGACTTGACATTACATAACAGTTCAATGGCTGCGTTGCTGTAAGCTTCTATTACACGTAATACCCATTAGACGTAACCCATCATCGCTGTTGAGGCTGAAATTTCAATGCTTCTTCAGCGCAAATTTGCCCTGTGATTTTTGTCGTCTCTAGATTAAGTTAACGCAACCGCTATCTCAGCGGAACCCCTGTCCTGGGATATCGGAATGCGGGCGAGACACTTACTCGTCGCTCCAGGTTCATCTTCCCTGAGGGTTAAAGCAGAATATCCTAGATACAAATTTCATCACTGTTATTATAACATTATAATATTATCTATTATGGCTAATAAGTCAAAAGTATACTGCACTAAGAAGCTACAACCGTCAAGTTAGCATTTCTCTGAAGATGTTAAAAATATAATTAATAGGTATATTTAGCGAGATATAAAATTTATAAAAGATATTTTGATTATTACTTTATTATAAAATAAAGTCTATTATAATACTAATTAATAAGAAAAAAAGATATAATAAACAACTTTCGAGAAATAAAAGATATATAATAATTAAAGTTAAATAACTATACTAACTATTATAAGTCTATTTAATAGTCTATCAAATCAGTATATCTATAAGTAATTATAAGTAAAGAAAACCACTCTTATAAGATACTAATCCGTTTCTTTTATTATAAATAGTAATATTAAATCAAGCTCACCCTCTCATCCAAACATTGTTTCCAATCTCTTTTCCGACATGATATCTATCCAGTGAAAGCTCGATATCACTGGGTTCCCGTTCTGAACTGCCGGCAACATATCCAAGCGCGACCAAACCTCCTCAGTATACACATGACGTTTCCAATCGGTCCCAAACGAACAGCCGCATACATCTTGTGAATCCGCAGTCGAACAAATGCCCGCAAACGAAGTATTTCCAATCTCTTTGGCCCTTCATCTTCCCCCCTTGGTGAGGCGGGCCCCAGGACACTTCCGGCGATCAGCAGTGATAGAAGCTGTATCGATATTGTCCCTGAGTCATCTGGAATCTTTTCTAAGAGCTCCAATATGCTAAATGCCAGTCCCATAACTAGATGTGTCCTATCATCACCATGGTGCAAATCATCATCTCTGTCTAGACTTCCCTCTCTTCGTATTATCTCCGGGAATGCCGAGTAGAGCTCTAGTAGGGCAGCCAGACGGTAACAGCGGGATATAGCCAGCAAGTGATCAGGCGTTGTGCATGGATCGCCAATGTCATCAATAAG